GCCCCCACCCCCGCCGCACGCGAGCTGCCGGGGACCGCGCCGCTACGGTCGGTACCAACCTCGCCAGCCGAGGTGGGGGCGCGAGGAGGCCGGCGCGGAGGACCCCCGAGATTGGTATCACCTGCCCCATCCCGGCCGCAGCGCCCTCCCGGCGGAGGCTCCGGCTCGGCTCCGCTCGGGCGCTGGAGGGGCTGCGGGCGGGGCTGGACTCGCGCTCGGTCTCCGAGCTGCAGCCCGGGCCCCTACCCGCCCCGGCCACCCCGCCTCCATCCTGGCTGCTCCTGGCGCCCAGCTTGGCAGCCGCTCTCAAAGGGCGATTGTTTCCGGTCCGGCTGTGGGACGGCTCTCAGGGACCCAGAGGCAGAGCTGGAAAGCGAGGAGGGTGCGGCCCCGCGCAGGCTGCAGGGGCCCTAGGGTGGAAGGAGGCCGAGGAGGCCGCGGTTTCTTGCCGGGGTACTCGGCTGCTGTGTGGGGCGGAAGTGGGGTTCCCAGGCTCCGGCCAAGGGGCGGCCCTGTCCGCAGGCACTGCTCCATCTTCGAGGTGCGGGTCTAGCTGCGAGTGCCTGTGTCCTGCCTCCCTCTCCCGTGTCCCCAGGACAGGGCTCTGGCCATGCCCAGGAGGCTGAGGCACCCGCTGGGTGCCCAGGAGCACAGCGGGCCCCTGGGGCAGCAGGCCAGCCGAGGCTTCGCAGGCGCGCCTTGCCAGTGTGGGCTGGTGGGTTGTGTTGCCAGGGAGTCAGGGTGGATGTGTGCAAAAGTGTGCACTGCTGTTTGCGCATGCAGAGGAAGGGTTCATGTAGTCAACTAGGGAGAGATTTCCAAATGCACTTTCCTCCACTTGCCAGAGGCTCAGAACTTAAACTCCAAAGGTCTACATCAGACCTGGTCCCCCAGGACACCTGTCGTCAGGGCCACCCCAGCTCATGTCGGGTGTCAGCGCCTTCTGTGGGCCGAGACCTCTCTGCGTCACCTCTGTCCCCGTAGCACGAAGCCACCCTGGTCCTTTTATGGGACATGTGTGGTGCAATGAGTAGGGTAAGGGCTCCAGAATCACCCACTTTGGTCAAGCCCTCGAGGTGAGGCAGGGGCTGCAAAGACATTCCGAATATAATTAAACGCGATCTCTAAGGACAGCTGCCCTTCCTCTTTCGCCCTTCCTGGGCACAATTCTTCTCAACAGCAAGGAAGTCCCTCCAGAGCTAACCTGAGCACCTCCTGCTGCAGTCTAGGATAAAATGTTCCTTCTTTTAATAAAGCATGGATCACAGCAAGCTCTGCTGTACTTTTTCCTTCTCCTGGTGGGATGGCCCAGGCTCCTTTAGACTTTGCTAAGAGAACCTTTCCTGGAACGGGGTTTTCCCTCTAATATTTCCTTCCATGCATACTTTGGTTCTCCCTGACTCCACACCGATTGGAGGGCAGTACAAGAGCAGGAAAACCGAGCATTGGAGAGTGCAGAGAAGAGGCCAGGCCCAGGGGCGCTGTCTCTTCCTTCTCGAGCCAGCTGGAACCACATACAGAGTCACCAAAAGTTGGGGAGTGACGACCTTGTAGACTGTAGGTCCAGCCTTAAGTTTTACAAACAGGAAGCAGGCCCACGGAGGAGCCCATCCATATGTGATCACATCCATCTGTCTTCCCCCAACATAGGAGCCAGCTCCTGAGTGGTGAACTCAGGGACAGTGGCAGTGAGGAGGCCTGGGTTCCAGCCAGTTCTGAAGATACCAGCCACATGACAGCCATGGTCTTTTTGTCTGTCTCTCCAATCAAAGAATAAGGGTCACACTAAGTGGATCCCCTGGTCCTGAGAAGCTGTGGCCTTGGGGTACTGTCTGCAGGTGTTCTGTGAATGCCCTCTCTCCAGCTCATGGGAGCTCAAGCAGCTGGAGCAGGAAGGGTAGCAGGCTTCATCTCACTAATCATGGAAGAACAATAGTGGTAATAAAACCCCTTTCTAGGGACCTGTCTTGCAATTTAGCCCCAGGCTCTGTTTATGGAATTTTTTAATATTAATTTTTAAAGCCAACTTAAAAGAATAATGTGAGATTTAAATTAGCATGAAAAGGCTTAGTAAAAAGACAATAGTCTGCCATTTGTTTCTGTGGGAAGTTTGGCGACAGCCCAAGTGCATGGATACACACACATACACACACACACACACACACACACACACAGTCTATGTAGACACAAAGCATACACATGGAGGTAGATACACATGTGAATGTACCCAAACTAATACCTATGAATGTCCTATTCTATAGCTCGTGTGCACATATAAATGCACACACATACACACATCCGCCCCCACCTGTGCACACTGGCAACAGTTCCCACCCCACCAGGCCTGCTGCCTTACTCCTTTTCTCTTTATCTCTGCTTGATCTCTGCAAGTCTAGGGAAATCCATTCCGCATCTGGATTTAGTACAGTCCCCCTACTTGGCTCTTGAGCCAAACATCTGGAGCAGCCTCCAGATGCTCCTGAATAACCCATCTTTCCCTCCTTCTTCTTTCTCTGCCGTGAGTGAGCCCCTCTTCTCAGAGGCCTCCAAAGCCTAGCACCAGTATATTTAGTATGCAAAACCTGGGTCTGTCCTCTGGGACAAGCCGTGATGTGTTCAATTTGTAGTTAAGCAGGATGGGAGCCCTGCCCCTACTCTGGTCCTGGCCTGATTCCCATAACCTGAGTCCCAGAAGGGTCCCATAAAAGCATCATCTGCAATGCAAAATGGGCAAAATATTTGGGAGGGTCTATGGGTTTTCTCCGAATCACCTGTGCCCTAATTTAATAGGAATAACAATTAGTTCATTCTTATCAGTTAAGGTTCCTCTAGCTGGTTCTGTCTGCCTTGGCCCCTCTTTCACTGAGAGTTTTGGCCTCATCCAGGCTTGTGATGTTCCTTTCCAGGCCAGTCTTCCTGGGCTGAGTGCCCCAGGGAGTCACAGCTGAGCTGCCTGTGCCTGTGCACAGCCCCAGCCCCCAGGCTGCCGTATGAGCAATGTGTTTGCTATGCCTTCGCTTTTAGGGAGCTCCAACATCCTTGTTCCTCCACAGGGAGTCCACAGCCAGGACTTTGCTGATGAGAACAGAAAGGCCCAAGGAGGAGTCCACCATCGTGCAGTGCAGGCAGTCAGCTGCCATTGCCCAGGGGACACAGGTGCTCACATAGGAGAACATAACAGGCACCACAGGGGACACTAGAAACACTGTCCCCTACCTCCACAGTGGGGTGACTCTGAGGACCCACTCCTGCTCTGGCTCTGCATGGTGGTACATGTGTGGGTGGCTGAGTTTGGGCCTCTGAATCTTTTATAGAGAGGCCTTTGCTCTGAGCTTTGGATCTTGGCACATCCTTGTTTGCCCATGGCAAACTGGAGATGGCTATTTGGTTGCAGGGACTCTGAGGTCCTTTGCTGTCCTGCCTCTTTCCCTGCCTGCTGCCTCCTCTCAGTACTCTGGCCCCTGGAAGGGTGCAGGAGTGTGGCTGTGGATTGTGGTGTCATTTAATGGTTCCTGTGCTTTGCTTTCTGTGGCTGAGGGTGGCTCAAGAGGAGCAGAGCCCTGTACCTCAGAGGGGGCATTTCTGGGGCAAGGCTGGGATGTCCTCCAGCCTTTTGGGGATGTGTGAGGAACCCAGTTGTCCCTTGCAGAGCCCACTCTTCCAGATTCCCTGGAGCTCCTTCCAATCAGGCTCTGAGGCTCTTGCTCTTTCGTAGCCTCCCCTGACCTTCAGGGATCCCAGGCAGTGAACCAATTTCCTCTGAATCCCATAGTACTGAATTCTGGACATCTCTGTGGGCTCTTTGTATGTGCATGCATCTATTTATTTCCAAATATATATTGAACTCCTGTCATATGCAGGGGCAGGAGGGGAGGGGAGGGAGAGAGAGAGAACAGCCACTAGAACAGTTAACTTTGATGGGGTCCTCTGTATATGCCTGATGTTGTCCTAAGTCTCTATGCATGTTAACTGATTTCACAATGTAAAGATAATGTAAGGGGTTATTTAGGAGGTATCAGGGATGGTAAATTTCTATTATAGTTTCCATTTTGTAGGTCAGCAATCTGGGGCATAGCATTTAGGTAACTTAATCAAGGTCATGTGTTCAGTAAATGACAAAATTGGCCTTCAGGTGACTGAGTTCCAGACTCGGCTCCTCAGCTGAGTGTTCTCTGGGGACTGATTGCTGGTGGGAGCCAGGGATAGATGCACGGGATGCTCATGGATATTGAATGAGACAGACTGTGTCAAACCAGCTTATGGTGAGAGAGTACCCAGGAGGAGGCCAAGGGAAGGTGTCTTCAAGGAGGTAACCCTGGAGCAGAGGCCTGAAGAAGGGCCAGTGGTTTGTGGTGCTAGCAGAGTGGAACCCAGGCCAGTGGACAGCAGTGGCACCGTGAGGCTGGTGTGTGGTGAGCAAGGATGGAGTGTGCCTGTGTGAGAGGACATTCTCTTGTCACAGTGCGAGGATGTGTGTGCAGGATTGGCCTCATGCACTGGTGTCTTCTAGAGGGAAGCTGTTCAATAAATATGATGGATGTAGTTGTTGAATTTCCTAACTCCCTTCTACAGCCAAGGTGCAGGGGCAAACATAGACTCTTCACACTTCTTTTCTGTATTTGGAAGACATGACCAACAAGGTCAGAGGCTTCCCTCTCAGGTGCTTTGGTTTCATTTTTTTTACTTCTTCATTCACCCATCCCCATTTCTCTGAAGTTACTTTGGCTGAAAATACAGAAATGAATGACTAGCTCCTGCTTTCAGTCCTGAGAACTTCCAGTCTCTCAGGCTCCAGGTATCTGTGTCTCAGTTTCGTCATCTGCCCTTTTCCCATGTGCCTGCCACTGCATGCTTCTGAGGGAAGGAGGAGGCAGGCAGAAGCCAGGTTGTTGGGAGGCTTGTGGGGACCTGGGCCAGGGTTGCTGCAGGGACAAAATCTGGGAGAGAAGGAAGGGCAAGCAGTGGGAAGTAGCCTCCAAATATTTTTTGTTATCACTTAAAAAAAGTCTGGGCTATAGTGACTTTTGGGGAGATGAAGAGGAAGAGGAGAAGACTGTAAGAGGTGCAAACACGTCTAAGATATCTGGGGTGATAAGGTACATTCTGAAAGATAAATTTAGTAATAAAATGTTTGAGAAAAGACTCAGTATGTTGGAAGGAGGAAGCAGGTCTTGCACCTCCCTCTCAAGTATCTTCTGGCTTATTCTTTATTTT